GGGGGCGGGGGCGGGGGCGGCGGCGGCGGCGGCGGCGGTAGTAGTAGTAGTAGTAGTAGTAGTAGTAGTAGTACGTGCGCAGAGGGTAGTAGTGATGGGAGTAGCCGTGGTGGTAGTAGGAGCAATGATGGCAGCAGCGATACTAGCTGTCATCGTGGTGGGGGTGGCTGTAGTAGTATTAGCAGCATCAATAATGGCAGCAATAGAAGTGGCAACCGCAGAAATAGACATAGCAATAGGATGACCAGGAACTCAATTAAGCAGCGGCCGTGGCCGCAGCGGCAACAGCAGCTTCGGCAGCGGCAGTGGAAACCGCATTCATTAGCAAAGGTCATGGTTATGAGCTCGAGTTTGTACCCACCTCCGATTGCATCTTTGTTGTTCTGGATCTTGTTTCCTGAGCTTGTTTACTGTTGAATGTACTCGCAGTGTGCATTCAACAGGCGGCCTTCGCGGATGAGGGTGCCGTGTGGATCCCGGCGCTCAGTGCCATTGGCTGCTTGCCTTGACGCAGTTTGATTGTTTATCTTCGGAAGCAGTGAAACTCGGTATGACACCATGCTACGCAAGGCGCCGGCTTCGCCATCGGACTTGCTGCTATCGGCTCCGGTGTTGGCCAGGGCATCGCTTCCGGCCGATGCATTGACGGAATCTCGCGGCAGCCTGAGGTGGCAGATGACCTGCGAGGCGTGCTTCTGCTGTCCCTGGCGTTCATGGAGTCCTTGACGAGTCTGGGTGTGCTTCAGAATTGCTTTTTAGCAAGAAACTGGCCGATACATCTTCGGAAGGACAAGGAAAAGAGGGCTCCAGACGTTTTTTTCAGGAGTGGGGTCCGACCAGGGGTGCAGGTTACGCAGCATTCCATACTCCCAACTCATAGTACCAGAAAGGAAGCAGTCCCATATCCCCTGACTTCAAGTCGCTGCACCATGGTCAAAAGCAAGGATCTACGGGCTGGTCATTGCCCTCGTGCTCCTGTTCGCCAACCCGCTCATCAAGTAAGCTTCTAGCAGTGGGTGTCTTGAAGCGGGATTTTTCTCCAGTTAAAAAGCAGTTCGTGCGTTGTTTGCAGTTGCTTGGTGTGACATGCGTCAAGCAGCGCCATCCACCTGTTTCGGCATTGTCGTGTTTCATGTGTTTGGGAAGGTCTGCCGCACTTACGACTTGGACTCCAAGGCACAGCAGTGCAAGATGATAAATTTTGGGAATCCATGACACATGTTCTTTAGTTGAGCCTCTAGCGTCCCCTGCTCAAGATTTGATTGCAAGGTGATGTGGGCTGCCAGGCAAGAAGAGGATGCAGACAACGCGGACGAGGCCTTCGGCTCGCGGAGTGCTCTTGTCTTAGGATACAAGCAGTGCTGTCAATGCAGCCAGCCTTGTTTTGGGAATCCTGATGATTGCTGCTGCACATCTTATCGCAGGGCTCAACACGCTTGCAAGTGGTGTTCCTTCCCCTGTGGTTGTCTACTGGCCAGCCATGGAGTACAAATGCAAGGTCGATGAGAACAACAAGGCTACCGAGTTGCCCCTGTTGCGCTTGGGTGGCACCGTGCAGCAGAATCCTCACATGCGGGCTTTCTGGG